GATAGAAACCCAACTCAAACTGGCCTCAGCCAAAAAGAAATTTTTTGATCCGTGTAACTGAAAAATGTGGGGTTGTGGGGCTTTAGGCCTGCTGTGTCCAGGTCTTCAAATGTGAACAGGTCTCCCTTTTTCTCCCCTAATTTCTTGACTCTGCCTTCATCTTTGTTGGCTTCATTCTAAGGTAGGCTCTCACTGTGAGGTAGCAGAAGGTGGCAACCAGTAACATCAGGAGATGTTGTGTAATCTGAGCAACCTTAACTGAAAACTTGTTTTCCCCAGGAGTTCCAGCAAAAGTTCAGGGAGAATCCTTGTCCAGACTTTACTCCATGTCTACTCCTGGATCCAAAAAAGACAGTTAATTCTCCAAAGGGAAATTATGGGGCTGGTACTAGAAGATAGGAATGGATATTTTGCAAACAAATCCACCAAAATCCATCTCAGTAAGGTGCCTTGGAATAGTCAGTGCTGATGCCTCTTTCCCAGCCCACCTCACCAGCTAGATCTTCCTTTCTCACTGCTGCCAAGCACCTAGGATATGAGGTAACTGACCCTTTCACGGAAGAAGCCATCCAGTCCTTTCCAGTCGTCATCCAGACCAAACACCCAGCACTTTCTGTCCAGAACATAGGAACCCTTCCTTTAGGGCTGATATCTATTTATTTATTTTTTAAATATGTTTTTATTGATTTCAGAGAGAGGAAGGGAGGAAGAGATACAGAAACATCAATGCCTCCTGCATGTCCCCTCCTGGGGAACGAGCCCACAGCCCAGTCATGTGTCCTGACTGGGAATCTAACCATGACCTCCCGGTTCATAGTTTGACACTCAACCACTTAGCCACACAGGCCAGGCTATTTATTGTTTTAACAGTACATTTCTTTTTTATCTTTATTGATTTCAGAGAGAGGAGGGGAGGGGGGGAGAGAGAGAGGAACATCAATGATGAGAGAGTCATCACTGATCGGCTGCCTCCTGCACGCCCCCAACTGGGGATCAAGCCTGCAACCCGGGCATGCCCCCTAACCTGGAATTGAACCACAATCTCCTGGATCCTAGGTCGATGCTCAACTGCTGAATCACGCCCTGCCAGGCAGCAGTATATTCTTAAAACTGACTGTTAACCTAAAGCTCCAGTGTTTATTGAGAACTGTCCGACCCATTCTTGGACACTAGATCCTCTCCATCAGTTATGTTTCCTGAACAGCGGGGTGGCTTGAAGGTGTGAACCAGAGAGGCCCGAGGGAGGGATGGTTATCAGACTTTCCCTGTGTGTGTCCATTTAATCAAAGGACCACAGGCCACAGTCTGTGTTTGTTCTATATGGTTGCTATTTTAATATGAGTTAATTTCCAACATTTAAAAATAGGGGAATTTTATTCAAAATTCCAGATTTTTGGCTTCCCTTTAAAAAAAAAAAAGTAAGACCTAACAATACTAGACCCACATTTCCCCATGGCACCAGTTAATTAGAGCTAAATTGTGACTTCTCCCTTTAGACATGATATGTGCTTTTCAGCTCACCGTAGAGTTCACCAGCCTGCTGTTTAAACCTGGCCTTGTAAAGCATCATGTTTGAGACCCCGCTCTGTCCCAAGGCTTTGCTTCTAGTGTTTGACTTGGGGAAAGAAACTGGATTAATGTTCAGTCAACAGTTTATTTGGGGGACACAGTGCTGTTGCTTAGGAAAAGTAACCCAACAAAAGAGTTTGTGGAAAAGAATGTGCACAACTTTGATCTGTTTGTAGTTTGGTCTTTGCAGTAAATGCTGTTGGCATATCAAACCTCCGGTCACAAATGTTCCTTCTGAAATAGTAACATGTCCTTCTATCTTACAAGTTGCCACCCAGTGAAGGAATCCCTCCCACTCCCAAGGGATGTTCATTCAGCCTCCGCTTGACCACTTCCAGCAGCCCGAGAGCTTATTACCTCCTCACGTGGCAGCCAGTTCCATTCTTGGACAGATAACATTATTTTAAAATGTTTCCTTATATTGAGGCAGCTGCTGTCTCGTTGGGACTAAAAGCCACAAAATGCTGGAGCAGGAAAGGGAAACTGATTTTTTCCAGCTCGTGAGCTACCACTCATCCATTCTGCATCCAGGGCAAACATTGATAATCAATCACAGTACTCTTCCTTACTGAGCCACAAAGTAGAATGTACCCTTGAAACTTTTAAAAATCAAATTCCTCTAAAATTTACAGAAGTAATGTTCACTTGTAACTAGTGAAATAGTAAAAAGTTATGTTGAGAATGTTAATAATTTCTCCTTTCCAATGTAACCAGTTGAAGAGCCTTAGGGTCTATCCTTTATACATTTCTGTATACACACATATACATATGTGTACATATATTCAGATATAAGATATATAATGGTTTTTGTATATGGTGTTTTTTTTCTTTTTACAAAATGACATCACATTTGTACTGTGCAGCTTATGGACATCCCTCCAGTAAGTACAGAACAAACACTATATAGAGATAATGATTTTTTGGTATTCTGCTATCAGGATCAAGCATGTTTTTAATAGCTACATAATATCCCATTCTTTGAGGTGTGCCCCAATTTATTAATCATTCTCCATTGCTTCATTGCTTCAGGATCCTTCTCACCACAGTGCTTCAGGCAGCCACTACTTGAGTTAGCCTGAGAAATAAAACCCATTTGTCATGTGTGATCCAGTCTAGCTTATTTCACACATTCTAGAGAAGAGAAGCAGACAAGCTAAAAAAATCAGAGCGAATCTGTGGCTAGGGCAAGACTAGAACTGAATTTTCTTGACTTTCAACATTTCCTGTATCCCGTGTTGCCTCTCACTTAGAAATGTCTACCTAGGTTCTTCTCTGGAGTAAATCAGTCAATCTAATTCCTCTTCTCTGTACTACCCTTTCAGATGTTTGAAGTCAGTTATATAGTTGCTCCTGAGTCTTCTCTTTATCAGGAGAAATTTCCTCAATGCCTTCAAATTTTTCTCATGATTTTCAAATCCCTTTACCATCCTATGGGCCATTCCTTCTATCTACTCCCCCAGGACTGTAGAAATCCCAAGTGTGTCTTCTATACTCACGTTTTTTATTCATTCATTCGTGAACATATATAGCAGCACCTTCTATGTTCCAGTCATTGTTCTGGGTTCTGAGTGATGATGGTATAGCTTGTATTTTGGTGGGAAGAGAAAAACAAAGTATTTGAAGGTGCTGAATTATATAGAAATGAAATTCTGTTAACATAGTGGAGTGAGAGCTAGACTCCTTAGATTGTCAGGGAAGATCTCTGAGGAAGTGACATCGAGCTGAGACCTAAGTCACAAATAGGAGCCAGCCATAGATAGGTCTAGGGGAAGAGGATTCCAGTAAACAGGAAAGAATTTGGTACAAGATGAAGTTGGAGAGACCACAGGAATCCTGCTCGGTCCTGTAGGACAAGATAAGTTCAGGTTTAGTGTAGATTTTATTTAAGTGCAGTCGGAAGTCACTGGAGAATTTTAAGCCAGGGAGGCAACATTCGATTTCCCTTTTAAAAAGATTTCTGGAGACCTATTTAACTTGGAGCAGAGTTTCATTTTCCTCCACACTTGTTTCTTATATCCAAAGGGATTGATAGCCAGACCAGTTTGCTCTGTTCAGTTGTCGCACAGAGGATTGGTGAGGTTAGTCACAGCCATTGTCAGGTGCACTTCACAGCCCTCCTCAACAGGAACATGGAAGTTCAAGGAGATGGCAATAGCTCCCTAAGACCTGAGCACAGCAGGTTCAGTGGATCTTTGTATGGAACTCTCAGTCCCCTTGGCAGCCAGACGAGAATGGAGCCAAGTGTGGTTTGGGGATGGAGCCAAGGCACTGGTTGCAAGAAAGACAGGAAGTGTGAGTGGGGACCTGGAGCTGGAGACACTTAAAAAAAGGTTTCAGAGTAATATCCAGAAACCAGTCACCTGAAGAATAGGCCTGTTGTCTGCCCAGTTGACACAGCTCCTCTGCAGTTCCTTCCTAAGAGGAATTTGGACACTTTCTTGCTTGGCAGTTTTTTACTTTTGATGTGTCCCCCTTGTCCTCAGGTTGACATCCTCTTTTAGGTGTCTAGATGACAACGTCGGATCTCTGGGAGCCAAAGGGACTTGCCAACCCAGAGGACTTGGGTCAAGATTAGTCTTAAGGGGAACAAAGAAGAGGGCTGGGAGCGATTCACCTCAGAGTAGAGATAGATGGGATCTTAGACACCAGAGCTTCACCTTTTCTAGAGTGAGAGAGCTAGATTGGAGGAGGCGAAATCCCCCCAGCCTGTTTAAGATCTCTGAAAAGGCCTCTGTCCACTCCCTTACCCTTAAGCACCCAGATGATTACTGATCAGGTATCTATCCACATACCTGAAATTTCCACTGGGGTCACTACCTCACCACCTCCCCACATCCTAATTTTGTGGGTCTTAACTTGAAATAATATAAAGAATTCATATGGACCTTTTAGCAGGTGAGCACTCACTTTGTCCAGTTCTCGGAGGAGGTTGCCAGAGACCAACAAGGTCAGGGCATGTNAGAATTCATATGGTCCTTTTAGCAGGTGAGCACTCACTTTGTCCAGTTCTCGGAGGAGGTTGCCAGAGACCAACAAGGTCAGGGCATGTGCTTGGGGTCATATGCCTGCTTAGTCAAGTCACTTGGGGCCAGGTCTCCATTAATTCAGATCTTTTCCTATAATGTGCATTCTCTCCTATTTCCCACTTCGGGGAAATTTACCAACTTACTCTCTGCTTTAAATCCACATCCTTTGGTCCTATGACAGCCAGGCCTGAGGGATAGCATCTTTTCCTTAGACTAGGGTAGGTATCTTGAGTCCCAATAAAGCCTTTTCTCTAGATCTGGAGATTGGAAGGAAAGTTCATTTAGTATCTGGTATTGGCTTCACTTTCAGGAGCTCCACAGAGTGGATACCCTGAAAGAGGAAGGCATGAAGCCTCTTTACCCCCTCAGCACCAGGTCAGTTCCAGCCCCTTCATTCTATCTAACCCCCTTGCTTCCTTTTCCAGGAGCCTGGAGAGGTGTGGCTGGACCAAGACCTCCCCCGATGTGAGCAGGTTTCCTCTTCCCCCCACCACCTATTGCCACCACGCCAGGGAACGTCCTCAAGCCCTGGCCTTCAGGGAAGAGGTAACAGGAGCCCAGAGCCGAGACCATGTGACGGCGCTGGCCCTCGCCACCGCCGTCCCCCCCACCCTGGCCCCAGGCCTGGCACCATGATGTTCCGAGACCAGGTGGGCATCCTCGCTGGCTGGTTCAAGGGCTGGAATGAGTGTGAGCAGACAGTGGCCCTGCTGTCACTTCTGAAGCGGGTCACTCGCACCCAGGCCCGCTTCCTGCAGCTCTGCCTAGAGCACTCCTTGGCGGACTGCAATGACATCCACCTGCTGGAGTCGGAGGCCAACAGTGCTGGTGAGTCTCCACCCCCAGAGATGGGAGCAGGAGGGAGAGCTGGAACAGGAATAGATGTCAGATGGCTGAGGAGGCCTACCCAACAATGGTGCTAAGAAATGTGCATTCTAGACTTGGTGGGTGGGGAGTCCCTAACCTCCCAAGTTATCATCATGGCTTTCCTGGGGCTTTGTTGCTAACTATCCTCAGGCATGGAATGGGGACTCCTGCAGGAGGGAAGTGCAAACTGGAAACTGCCCATAGCAAAGGAAGGATCACGTAGGATGGCTTGTCTGGGAGGCTGAAAGGAACAGACTAAAGTCATTACCTATGAAAGGGGGATTGAAGGAGAGCATTAATTCATTTTTCAAGCTCCAGGACATCAGAGCTAGGAAGGATTTTAGAACTCTTCCAAATTTACAAGTCGTCTTATACTGTCCTTAATCCCTGAGAGATAAGTTGGACTTACAGCATAAACAGCTTTGAGAATTTTGAGTGTTGAGTTTCCTTAACACTCAGTAGAGAGGTGTTCTGTGTCCCGTGAGGTTGGCATTGGGATGAATAAGCCAGATTTCTCTAGAACCTCTCCCTAGGGCCCTGGGCATAAACAGGAGTCAGGCCAGAGAACCATCTCAAGAGACTCTACTGAAGCCATTCTGGCCTTCTGGGTCCCCACAGGCCTGGATGGAGACCAGTTGTCCTTGATGACAGGTGGAAGAGATGGAAGCCAGAGAAGAGGTCAAGCCGTGTGCACCTGAAAGCTAGCTGGAGAGAGGGACCCCATGTAATGTTTCTAGACCCTTCCCACCTTCTTCTGCATAATAATAGATCACACTGAGCCTTTATAGCACGCCAGGTCCTGGCTTTACTTGTATAGTAACATCAAAAACAGTGTTCCTTGGTGGTTCTAGAGTTAGACTGTCTAGGTTTAAGGCTCAGTTCTGTCACTTGCTATATTTAACCTTTCTGAGCCTTGGTTTCCTCATCTTTAAACTCAAGTTGATATTTGTGCTTACCTTCTAAGGTGGTTGTGAGCTCTGAGACTAGTGCATGTCATGTAGTAAACACTCAGTAAATGTCAATTACTGTTTTTATTATCAGTAACTCATTTAGTCCTCACCTCAACCCCATGAGCTAGATACTGTCATTATCCCCATTGTGTAGGTGAAGAAATCAGCATGGGCTTCTAAGGATTGGGATTTGGGGAGCCACAGAGCTGCCTGGCTTCCCTGATCTCCCCAAGCCTACCTGTCTTAGACACAGTCACCAGTATTTTACCCAGTTTTTAGGTACAAGTCACAGAAGCACCATGGTTGTAGGAGAAGATGGTTTCTGAGGCCAGGAGTCACACCAGCTTAAGTCCCAGTATGGTGGACAGTGAGCAGCAATAACCCAGCTTGGCTGCAGCAGGCTCAGAGCTCAGCCATTTGATACCCTCTCCCCCTCCCCAGCAGGAAGGACTTCCCTCTGCTCTGGGACCAGGAGCAGGAGTTCCATGGTTGTAGCATGGCTCTGCACCCAGAGTGAGGGTTGCTTTGTGGCAGGCCAGTGTCTTACACAACTTTGTCACATATCCCCACCACCCCATCTTGAGCAGACAATTGGATGAGCTCTGGATGCCAGTCTTGGCTATATATCAGAGTTGCCATATGCTATTGCTATTTATTGGAGCATTTTTAGTAGTTGCTTTTGTTTTCAAAACTTGTGGTAAGATCAAACCATATGAAAGGTAAAAAGTGAATTTTCCCTTCCAGACTTCCATGTTCCCAATTAGTGTGTATTTTGTGAGATATTCTGTGCATGTATGAACACAGCCATATTCACCCTCCAGCTTTTTCAATGTTTTGATTGTTTTAACACATAGGACACTGTGCATATTAACCAGTTTGCCTTTTTTCACTTAACAATATAACTTGAAGATCATTCCATGTTTAGTACATACATGTATACCTCATTATTATTAATGGCAGCTTAGTAGTAAGAATAGGTAATGTTTATAGAACCCTGTCTGTATATCAAGCAGTGCATTACCTTTATTACTCATTTAACCCTTCCAATAGCTCTGTGAGGTAGGTCTCACTATTTCCTCATTTTACAGATGAGGAGACTGAGATCTGAAAAGGTTTAGTGATTTGCCCAGAGTCATACTCATCAGAGGTGGAGCTAGAATTTGACTTTAGAGTTCTTGCTGCTGACCAGTAGACTGTACCACACACTGTGTTCAGCATTACTCTTATAAACAGTGCTGTAATGAATACCCTTTAAGCATCTGTAGGATAAATTCCTAGAATTCTGTGGGACTGCTAAGTTTGAAGTTATGCGCATTTATAGTATTTGTTATTACCACATTGCCCTTGAAGGACATGGTACCCTTTATACAAAAAACCCAAGGCCCATCCAAGATAGTTTGCATTGGTATGTTGGATGTAATGCCTACATAGTGTTGAGAATTGCTGTGGAATGCATTGACTAATGATTGAATATATGAATCAAGGTTTTTACCCTGAGTTCCATGTCAGATGTTGAGAATATAACAAGCTGATACTTAGATGAATGGAGAAGTAGGGAAAATTTAGAATGAGAAAAGAGGAAAGGCCATGGTATGTTCCAGAGTTCAGGAAGCCTGCCAGATTAGAGCAAAGCACAACTAGAGAGAAATTCAGTAGAGTCTTGGATGCCTCTTTCCTAAGAGGTAAATTTTGTAGGGCCTTGAATGCCTCTTTCCTGATAGATATGGGGGCTTCAAGACTAAGGAGGTCTGTGTCTCCTGACTCACTCCCACACTGAACTAGAACAGCCACCCTGCCTTATTTGTGAAGGAAGGAGCTACTTCCTAAGCTTGGGGGCCTGCCTTGTGAAAGAATCTGTGTGCATCCTCTGTTATTCCTTCTCTGTTCATATGGCCTTCCCATTCCCTTGTGTTTCCCAAATTTGTATCATTAGCAGAACCACCTGGTGGGGGAAGATGTGACTGTTAAAATTCAGATTCCTGGGCCCTTTACCCAGACACACTAACTTAGAATCCTGGGGGGATGGGCCTGGGAACGAGTACCCAGGTTCTTCTGCTGACCAGGCAGTTTGAACAATGAAGCCCTACTGGATGATTCATTTGGTGTGGGATAAATGAGAATAGGACTCAGAACACCCAGGAGTTCCACATCCAGCTCTGCCACTAAAACCTTTTGAGACCTGGGCCAGCTCCACCCCTCTTGGGCCCGAGGCTCCACATCTGTACTCTCCCAGTACCTTCTGGATTCTTAAAGAATGGGCCAAAGAAGGCAGAGTTACGGCCGTGCGTACTACTTTGGAGGCCCAGTACATTCTTCTAAAGCAATAGTTCTAAATATTTTATGAGATGGATCCCTCAGTGAATCTGTCCTTCCTCCCCACCAAGATGCACACCCACTCCACAAACCAATTCTTGAGTTCAGTCAGTCCACCAGTGCCCTGCCTACTATAGGGTCTGAAGTTCTTGAACTTTTCAGATCCCTTCAGGCCAGGAGGGCTAAAGAGTGAGGCAGATCTTCTGCCATTTTCTGGGTTTGTGCTCCATGTCTTACCCACCCAATCCTGCTACTTCTTCCAGTACTCCCAGGGAAACTCTGGGTTCAGGTTTCGGTTTGGATCATCTCCTCATAAAGGGTGGGGAATGCAGAAGACTTGATCTGGGTGTGTGGATCCTAACTCTGGCTTCATGTCAGAATCACTCAGGCTCTTTATTAAATGAACCTGAGGTCTGGGTCTTATTCCAGAGATTCTGATGTTTTTTAAGCTCCCTAGTTGACTCTCATGTGCATTCAGCAGAGAACCACTTGTCTTGATGCTGACCCTGATTCTGGGTGGGCCCAGAAAGGTGGTGAAGGTACTGTTGCGTGACCTGTGGGGAGTTGGGGCTGTGGAAGACTGCTCTGGTCTGGGCTGTCACTTCCTCTCAAGCAAGTGGGAAGTCCCTCAGGCCAGGCAGCCAGCATTGGTTTCAGGGAAGCAGAATCTGAACAGACAAGGAGAGGCCCCAGGTTTCCCTTTTGTCACCCCTGTTCCTTCTCCCAGTGCTATCTTCCCTGCCTATTTGGATTTATAACAGTAATCCTGTCTCTCTTTTCCCCTGTTGCTTACTTGGACCAGAAGGGTGGGGCCAGAGAAGCTGAAATTCCCTTCCTTCCCTGGTCCTATAGCTTCCTGGGTCACATTTCCTGCATTTCTTTCTTCCTATCCTCTGAGTCATCATCCTCATACTCAGCAGGTTTAAGCCCCTCCCTCTCTGGCTCACTGAATCTGGGTGGGGAAACTGAGGTCAGAAGGGGGCCATGGCTGAGTGAGTCACTAGAGCTCAACTCTCATGCCTCCACCCTCCCCTTTAAAGCTCTACTGACAGAGTTCATCAAACAAAAATGTGAGCCCCCAGCCTCCCCCATGTTTGTGTGAGTTGGAGTAAGACAGAGAAGGGCATGTTTGGAGCCAAACCCCAGCCCCTCTAACTAGTGCCTGAGGCTACCACAATTGTTGCAACAGCCAGCACATAAAAATGGGTTTGCTCTTATGGCAAACTCCAAGATATATTTGGCTCCTGTGATTTGCCAGGACCCAGGGTCATGACCTACTTAACTCTGGTCACCTGGCCAAGAAGTGCATTCATGTGCAGTCTACCTCGTCTTCTCCATGCCTGTGGAGTCCAGGTTGACAGCTTAGTGAGAAGCAGCAATTGGCATCATGGCATTCCTTAGCCCCATCCCCATCCACCCACTTCCAGAATTTCATCATTGCATGCCAGAGTTGTGTATATTTTGGTAAATAACTGCGTGAAATTCCCCACCCCTGTTGGGAATCTTAAGGGGGAGGCTCAGATGTGCCCTCCTTTATGAATTGCTCCCCTCAGCCCCAAAACAGCATGGTCTCTAGATCTTCAACCAGGAACAGTAATAACAGTTAAAATGCATGGAGCACTTTACACATGTTAGATGCTGTACACAGTTATTGCATTGACTTTTACCACAATCCTGTGGTGAAGGGGCTTTTAGTACCCCATATTGTACAGAAAAGGAGACCAAGGCTCAGAGAGGTTAAAGGACTGGCCTATGATTATGTTGACTGAGGTCATGGAGACAGAGCTGGATTTTTCAAATCCATGCAAGTTTGCCTGTTGAACTTGTGCTCTTACTCAGTATACTCTGCTAGGACACAAGACAGGGTAACCTGAGGTCAGGGGACCCTAGAGAGGACACATTATACACACATAGACAGCACTACCGTCCAAGGGACCATCTGGGTTCAATTGTGCAGGTATTCATTGGGTCCCTGCTATGCCTCAACTCTGAGCCAGACTTTTCTGATCTGGGCAGAAAACTAGAAGTTCTATCCCCACCCCTCATCTGCAGCCCCAGCTGGGCTCACCCCAAGGGGCCTGAGGCTGCGCAAATTCCTTGGACCAGTTCCAGTGCTCACTGATGCTTCCCAGTCATGGGAGGCCCGTCCTCCCCAACACACCACTGCACAGACACATGAACACACATTTCCCTAGGGTCAGCCTCCATTTGTCCATAACCACTCTCCCTTTTCTCCACAGTAGAACAAGGTCTTTCATTGAGCCCAACCCTTGGGGCTGTTCTGTCACGTCCCCTGGCAGTACCAGAGGAGAATCTGTGTCCCTTAGCCTTGGGGCCCTGGCAGTACCCTGGGGTGGGGGAGGGACTAGACAAGGCTTCTCTCTGTCCCAGAGGCTTCTGGCTACCCTGAAGGCCTAAACAGCAGTGATTGAGAACATCAGGATAGGGCTGAAAGGGTAGGCTGACCCTGCTGGGGAAGGGAGGAAAACAATCTTTGAGTCACATACTGACCGCTTACTATGGACAGACTCTGTCAGGTGCTTTGCATGCATCATCTTTTTTTTTTTTTTTTTGATATATCTTTATTGATTTCAAAGAGGAAGAAAGAGGGGGAGAGAGAGAGAAACATCAGTGATGAGAGAGTCATTGATCGGCTGCCTCCTCCAGGCCCCTGACTGGGGACTGAGCCCACAACCCAGGCATGGGGACTGTGCCCTGACTGGGAATTGAACCAGGATCTCCTGGATCCTAGATTGATGCTCAACTGCTGAGCCATGCCTGGCTGGGCCATGCATTGTCTTCTTAAATCCTCTCCAATCCCTCTTTTACAGAGGAAGCATATTGCCCCTGCATTTGGGTGACACAGCTGGGAAAACTCAGGGACTAAGTCAGGGAAATGGAGTATTAGGGAGTTCCTTCCCATGTGATCCAGTGCCAGATGGAGATAGGAAGGCAGGAAAGGTGAAGGCTTCCTAAAGTCAGGAAGGCCTGTCTGACCTTGGGAAGATGTTTAGATATGAAGATGACCTAAGAGAGAGCTTTGTGGTCATGGGAACTAGTTCAAGAGAAGAGACAGATGGAGAGGATGAGGTTTCCTAGCTTTGAGTGGCAGGTCCTGAAGGGAATCTGGAAACCCCAGGGACAGGGAAAAAGAAAGAGAGACCTGGTGTTGGAGAGATAGTAGAGGGTTATGGGTAAAGTTTCTTCCAATTCTGGAGGCAGACGACCCTGGGTTTATATCTTGGCTCTCACTTAGGAGAAGTGACTTCACCTTTCAAAGTCCATTTCCTCGTCTTCAAGATGGGAATGCTAGAACAGGGTTGGGGGTGCGAATGAAAACAACTATGTTCTTAGCATAGTGTCTGATGCATAGTAAATGCTCAGTTATTGTATACTACAGTAGTCCCCTCCATCTGTGGTTTTGTGTTCCATGGTTTCCATTACAGTCAAACATGGCCCAAAAATATTCAATGGAAAATTCCAGAAATAATTCATTAAGTTTTAAATTGTGTGCCATTCTGAGTACCGTGAAGAACTCTCACACGGTCCCTCTCCATCTCACCTGGGATGTGAATCATCCCTTTTTCCAGCATATCTGAGTTGTGCCTACCCCATTAGACACTTAGTGGTCATCCTGGTTATCAGATTGGTTGTCAGATATTTTGAGAAAGAGAGAGAGACCACATTCACATAACTTTCATTGCAGTATATTATAATTCTTCTGTTATTAGTTATTATTGCTAATCTTGTACTGCATCTAATTTATAAATTAAACTTTATCATAGATATTTATGTATGGGGAAAAAGTAGTATATATAGGGTTCCGTCACTATCCGTGGTTTCAGGCATCAACTGGGGGTTTTAGAACATAATTCCCATGGATAAGGTGGGGGACTACTGTATTACTATTCTATTTTGATCAGTAATGTGGACATAGCATGAATTGATAACTGAATAAATGGATGAATCCATGGGCACTTCAACAGGGGTTCTCTAGAAAGCTTGGAGCAGAGAGGCCCAGGCCAAGAAAACGTGCAGTTATACATATGGCCAGGAGTTGGGAGTTGTGTGTAAGTCATTTTTGCAGAGCTACAAATTTCAGCAGAATCAGAAGTTTATGTGAATCCTTAGGCCATAGATTTTCAAGCAGGTCATTAAAAGAAAAAGAGGTGCAAAAGGGTTTTTATGCAAAGCTCCCAGTGGCCAGGTGCCAGCCTGTAGTGTAGGCAGAGGAGACCAGAGGCCCTTGGAACCTTAAGCCCTAAGGAAGTTGTATTGAACCACCTTCAGATGCATGGCTCACTTGAAATCCAGATGCCTAGAATTCTGGGACTCACCTTATATATACATGCTTATTCCCAGCCTCTATTTCCTGGGCTTGGAGTTGGCTTGTGCCCACTGGGTATTTGAAGGGAAGGAACCATGGTAAGATATAATAACTGATACTAGAAATAGGTAAATGTTTACTGAGGACTTACTGTGTGCTCTGGTCTCACTTAATTCATAGCAGCTGTATCAGGTAGGAATGATTCTGAGTTCCACTTTACAGATAGAGAAAGTAGAGCTCAGTGAAGTGATTGCATTTTCCTAGAGTTCCATGGTCATTAAGTGGGAGAGAAGGGACCTAAGCCATGTCTCTGCCTTTACTTTTTCATCATTCACCCCCTAGAGCCCTAGCTCTGTCGGTTAGAGCCAACTCCTTTGCTCCTTTCCAGGACCTAACCGATAGCCCAATAGGTCACCTCAGAATAACCTTGTTAGATGTTTGCAAATTGTTGCCTTGGCTGCAGGTATTAGTTCAGTTGCTCAAGAGTGAGGATAGAGTTGGCCCCAGTCCTTGATCACTGTCTCTTTACTCAAGTATTGGTATTGTCTGTCCCTTTTCTTCGCTCTGTCAGCATTACACCTTATCCTCTACTCTTTTGAGCTAGTCAGAAGGGGTAACAGGGTTTTTAAGGAGGATAGTCAGACCTGTAACAGTTCCTCCCAAAACCTCCTTTATATAGCCGGCCTGGAGCCGTATCCTTGGGGAGCTCCCTTCTGGGTCAAGAGGGGAAACCTGGCTCATCTCCACAAGACAGACTCAGGCCCTGAGACTGTGAAATTGGAAGGAGACATCACCAGATCACTATGGCATGAAGTAGCCAGGGAAGGTTTCCCAGAGGAAAGCAGGTTTTAGCAGTCATAAAAGACAGAATTTAGATAGGAGGAAGGAGACTGTTGTTGGCTAAAGCCCTGAATCTTAGCCTGAGTGGAAGCTTAGATGAATGTGGCATGGAGAGAGGCCCAATGAAGATGGGGATATGCTGAGCCAAGTCTTTATCTGGAGGTATAAGAGGTAGGGAATGCCCTGGAAATGATGGTGATGTTGGGCTAGGAGTTCTTGAACTTGAGTTTATTGGTGCTGGTTATTATTGTAACCTCCTGGTCAGGAACATGACATCTGGTGTGCTTTAGGAAGATAAGTTCATTTCGGTTTATGGGACAGGTTGGAGGGGGAGAACATAGAAGCAGAGAAACCAGTTAAAAAACAGCGAGCATTTATTAAATATGTTCTGTATGCCACACCACTTTCCTTTCTTTTTTAGCTCATTGAGTTTCAAAGCAACACTGTGAATTGGGTACTGTAATTATCTCCAAAAGTTTTCAGGAGAGGACATCAGTGCTAGTGAGGTGACATTCCCAAGGTCTAGCTAGTAAGTTGGGGAGTTCATACTATGTGATTCTAGACCCCAAGCTTTTAATCACTGTCCTTCTCAATCAGGGAGGAGGCTGTTTTGATAGGGAAAGTGGGTAGGGGCCCTGAAGATAAAGAGTAAGAGTACACCCCAGAGATAGCAGAAGGAGCTCAGATGAGATTCCAGAGTAGCAAGTTTGGCTGATTGGGAGTCACAGCAGGTTTTTGAGAGTAGGAGTGATGGAACCAGGAAAAATTACTCTGGAAGCAAGGTGTGTGTGTTTGATCTCACCTCTAAAAGGATCAGGGTTGGGGGTCATGAAAGAAGGGAGAAGAGATTGGAGCTGAGGGAACAGGCTATAGATGCCTCTCTTGAGTTTATAGGAGTTCACCACCTTGGCTCCCCTGACATCCTCTCTTGTCTCCTTTGCAGCCGTCGTCAGCCAGTGGCAGCAGGAGTCCAAAGAGAAGGTAGTATCCCTCCTGCTGTCCCACCTGCCCCTGCTTCAGCCACGCAACACGGAGGCCAAGTCGGAGTACATGAGGCTGCTGCAGAAAGTGCTGGCCTACTCGATCGAGAGCAATGCCTTCATTGAGGAGAGCCGCCAGCTGCTCTCTTATGCCCTCATCCACCCAGCCACCACTCTGGAGGACCGCAACTCACTGGCCCTCTGGCTGAGCCACCTGGAAGAGCGGCTGGCTGGTGGCTTCCGCACCCGGCCTGAGCCCACTTACCACTCACGCCAGGGCTCAGATGAGTGGGGGGGGCCTGCAGAGCTGAGCCCTGGGGAGGCGGGGTCAGGCTGGCAGGACAAGCCACCCCGGGAAAATGGACATGTTCCCTTCCACTCACCCAGCTCGGTGCCACCAGTCGTCAACAGTATTGGGAGCAACGCAAATGCAGGTGATGGGGTAGTGAGTCCCAGGAGGCCATGCCTACTTGAAAAGGGACAGACTAGGCTTTCTCTTTACTTGCTCTGTGGCCCTGGGCAAGTCACATAACCTCTCTGGGCCTCACCTTGTGAAGCAGTGCACAGGTTGTGAACTGGAATTCCCAGAGTCATATCTGATCTACAGATATGTTTCATTGAGCCCAGACTCAACACAACTTTGGTTTTATTTGTTGTGTTTTAAAATAAATTTGGTAATATAAGGAGTCAGGAATTTTTTCCTAAAAATCTACATTTTAGCTTCTCTTAAAAAGTCAAAAGATCTGGCAGCTCAAGGCTTGTATTCCTGGTGGCAACAGTAAGATGGAATTTAGCATTGGTCACCCCTTTTACACCCTACACGTGTGCCCCAGTCAGCCTCTGCCTCCACCACCACCCCTTTGGTCATATTTGATACCTGCCTGGCTTCTGAAGGCGTTAAATTAATGATCACAATCTAAGGTCTCTTCTAGCTGACATTCTGGGTTTTTGTATCTCACCTCAGCTTAAAGGGTTGTTTCTGAGAAATGTTTCCAAGCATGTTCATATAAGCTGTAACTCACTGCTGTGCATTAGTAATAGTAAGTAACATTGTTGAGCATTGACTATGCTTGATACTCTTTTATAAGTACTTTTCACATATTTAATCCTCATCACAACATATTATTAGCCCCATTCTACAAATGAGGACACTGAGACTCAGGAGATGAAGTCATGTTTTCAAGGTTACACATAGAATAAATGGTGGAATTGGCCAAGGTTCAGACCCAGACATTCTGCTGCCAGAGCCTGCCTCTGACCATTGCACTGGCCTCCAACTAAGTGGTTTTAAATGGGCTCTCTTATTAAGCACCCTGAACGCTAGGGTGAGCAGGAGGAGCTGATATTCCAGTGAGAGAGAGGTATTTTCAAGGATTGGTAAAGTAACATGACCTGACTGCCGAAGATACTCAGACCTCATCAAGAGGAGGGTGCTCATACATTTCTTCTTCTCCACGATGGGGACAGCAGCTACTGCAGGACCGAGTTGGAACAGTGTTGGACAGGGGTTTGAACCAGAAAGAAAGGAATTGGTATTCCAGATAGAAAGCACAGCATGAATTGAAGGCATGGGGGTGGCAGATTGGAGGAGACAGTATGCAGACAAGTTTTGCAGGGTTGAGAGATGCAAGGATTTAAATGAGTAATAATAGCAAACATGTTTACCATGTGCCTGCCCCTGTGCCAAGGACTTCACGTAGAAATGGAGGCAGGGGGCAAACGAAGTGACTTGCCTTGGGATCATGCAATTAATAGGTGGCCAAGCCAGGATTTAAACTCAGGTCTGTCTTGATTCCCAGACTCAGCATGTTAGGGCCACATTGGGGGGGGG